GTTTGGTATAGGTCCTTTTTAGATGTATTTATTTTCCATTATTTCTGTGCAACTTAAAAACTACCTCTCTCTCCAGTTACTAACCTATCTACCAAATATACATATACCAAATATGTATTTTTTTTTCTATACTCTTCCCCTATTTATTCCCATGGCCAAAGAAGAAGTGAAAGTCAACCCTCTGAAAGCAAAAAGGGGAGAGATGCACAGAAAGAAACCAAGATGAGAGTTGGATCTACAGAGAAAGATGGAGAAAGGGGGGGTTGGAGGGAGAAAGAGGGATTGAAGAAGGGAGTCTGAGAAAGAGACAGACAGACAGAGAGGTATACAGACAGGAGACAGATGATTATCTCCTGGACTTCTGACATCTTCCTCAGTCGTGGTTGTGAACTTTCCCGAGGGGTGAAACTACGCATGTACCGCGACTGGAGTCACACCCCTCGTGAACAATAAGACCTACGGTTAAATGAGAATCTCATTGTTCCCTCCAATTCTGCTTCTCAAAAACGTCTTTGAGAAGCAAATGAGGCTCTGACCGGGCTTCCTTTAGTCCAACCTTCCCAGGAACAGCTAAGGCCACCCGCCTCGCATGGCGTTTCCAGCTTAAGAGCCAACCCGCTCTCAGGATGGCACCACAGAGGCAGTGCCACCGCAGCTGTCCCCCGCACAGTGGCGGCCCCCCCTCAGCAGCGGCCTCGCTGAATAAGCTAAGGGTACCCGGTGCCCGCTGTCCGGTGCGTCACACCCATTCCTTGAAGACGCTCTCTTCCTTTCAGCTCCTTGTTGCTGACCACACCGAGCGCCGGGCTCGCCCATTTCACAAGCGCACACGGAGGCCTGGCGCAGTCAGAGGAGCCTGGGCTCCGCAGGCGGACAGAGCTGGGTTCAACTTTCAGCCCCATTATTTAACAGTTTGGGGGACCCTGGGCAAGTAACCTAACTTTGCTGAGCCAGTGTTCCTACGCGGTCCAATGGGGATTAAAAACGTCTTTCTTATAAAGATGTTGTGAAAAGCAAGTAACTTTTAAAACATACACGGTTAGTACTCAAGTGTTGTTCGCTCCGTCTTTCTGTGCTACCGAGCTTAAAGATAAATAAGAAGTTCCCCCTCCAGGGGAACCTTAAAAAGGCAAATGATTCAAATTATAGAAATAATTATAATACAGTTAAAAATGATCAGCGATGGGAGAGAGAAAGAATGCTATCTGGGGGTCAAATGAGAGACTGTATCTGGCTAGAGGGTCAGAGACGACTCCACGAGGAGGGCGTAGCTATTGAACTAAACTAACTTACTTAGGACTCGGCAGACAGGTGAGAGGCAGCGACCTGGTGCAGGGCAGGAGGGGCACTGCAAGCAGAGAGGAAAGCTGGGCAGATGCTGGTGACGACACAGGTGACAATGACGATGACAACGGCTGTGGTAATAACGGCGGTAAGGGTGACGTCAGACATTCATGCAAGCTTACTCTGTCCCAGATACTTTTCTAAGCTTTTGCACACACTCACTGCTTAAATCCTCACAACAATCCTAGGAGGACCCACTCCGCAGACCACTTCTCCAACAACGGCCACGAAACACACTGCCCCGGGCTCCACGAAGTAACAGTAGCCTTCACAAATGAGTAACTTCAACCTTCAACCAATGAATAAATGTTTACTGTATCCCTACACTTTCTTATCTGACAATGAAGGCAGAACTCTTCCAACATAATTTAAGGACTGTAAACGATTCATTTATGCTTTAAAATTATTTCCATACATTTTAATGCGAACTGTAGGAAACCCTGCAGACATTGGCTACAAGGCAGCTGACATGGACATCCAGGTGTTACAGTGTATTTCCAAGGGTAATCTTCTCTACAGTTCTAGTAGATTCTAAAGAAAAAAAACTTGACAAAGTAAGGAAAAAATGGGGGTACAGGGAAGAAAAGAGGAGAAATCAGAGATCTGTCAGTTATCCAGTAGATGAGAGGTGATATGGTGGAGAAAGTCTTGGAAGACCGGGGGTCCTTGCTCTTGCTCCCCCCATGATCTGTGTGCTCTTAGGTCCCTTGATCTTGTAGGGACAAGACACTGCAGTTTTAAGAGTCTATGGTTTTAGTTTGATGACCATTTGCAACTGTACAAATTCAAAAGCCCTGAAATCTGTATTCAGCCACGATGTAATGTCTTCATGTGGTACTTCATGAAGATGTGATAATTTAGTGAGTTGTTAACGTATCTTTTCGGAGAGTCACTTTTCATATTTCTAGTAAATGGCAGACCTGACTGATGGGTGAAAATCACCGGAAACGCCAAATTCTACTAAGCTGCTGAAGCTCCTGTAGCAAAAGGAGGAAACTATGGCCAAAGAGCAAAATTCTCACCCTTCTCACCGAACATCAGAGTTATTTCCTCTCACATTGAAAATCCACTTCTCTTGTTCCATGATATGAAATCTATAAAAATGAGTATGAAATCTCTTGAATGTATCATATACATGCCTACACCAAAGGACAATTGCAATATACGAAATCTCCTCCCCTACACGCCCCAAAGGTAACCATTTAGTTAAAACAACTTCCTAAGATAGGGCATAAGGTAGCATTTAAAATACCCAACTCTCACTACGTTAAAACTTAGACATTTTCTTTGATTCCTGAAAGAGACCGAAATTGTAAACATTAGGTATGATTGTTGGTTTCATTTATAAGCCCAGAAAGTAGTTTAATCAGCTCTCTGATGATCACCACTTACTTTCATTACGGGAGTGCATTCTAATTGGCTTGATGACTGGATTTGTCAATTATGCAGTCAGCACCAGTCAACCCAAGGGAAATGCTTAAGGAACCAATGGCAGAAAATGAAAACCCTTTTTTTTTTCAAATAATTATCAGAATTCTAACAGAATTTTTTCATATGTGGGAATAAAATCCTGCCAGTGTTGAAATGACTTGAAATATGCAAGAGGTTGAGGCTGGAAGGAGTAAAATTGGAGGAGAAGGGGTAAGATGCTTATTTCTGTCATCAGAAGGACGTTAGGCTTCATATGGACACACACAGCCTGCATCTGACCAGATCCCGAACATTCAGAGTAAACACTAGTGTCCAGCAGAAAGTAAAACCTGACAATAACCGTCTGGAATCAGCATTATTAGAGGAATAAAGAAACTGCTTTTGTCTTGAATTTATTTCTACTCCAAAGTGTAGAAACTATTTGAATACATTTTTATAGAAGGGAAATATAAAGCATTTGGGAACGTTTTAAAGAAAACTACAGAGTAAAAATATTTGTTAGAGACAAAACTTTTCTTTAATTTCCTGGTATTATGATGATTTAACTGCCAGCTGCTGGCCTATGTCGTTTCAATAAACACTTAAGAAGCAATTAGATGCAAAGTTTTTATTTCCCCAAGAAAATCTAATAATATGAAAAACGTCATTTCTTTTTACTCCACTAGAGGGTAGACTCTCAAAACGAGGGCCGGATCATGTATTTAGCCTATCTTTGACCTGTTGATAAATTAATCCTATGTTCCAGTCCTCTCAATAGCATGTTTCTCTACTATACTAATTGAGGTTGTAAAACATACATTTTTAAAAATTGCTGTCGATTTACAACCAGGTGCTCTTTCAGAAACACACACTGCTTTGCTTTTCTGGGTTTCTTTTCCCAATTTCAACTATGTAGTGTGTGTACGTTGTATATTTTCCGGGAAAATGTACATTCAGAGTCAATAGATCTAAGAATAAAAAGAATTTGTTTTCTCGGGTATGTAATATATTACAGTAGAAATGTTCCCCCAGAATAGTAAAACATACACCGTAAACATACACACACACACACCCAACACCACCCCACGTACCCACGCCTAAGTGGCTGGCAGATGAACTGCTTCACATAAGGAGAAGTGAGTGAAATGCAATTGGAAATACATATTTTTCAAAACACCCCCTTCACATGCCTACGCTGTGAATTATAGGCAGAAGCGAATATATGCTTGATTTTTTTTAAATCTGGTCAACCCAGATAAGAAATACCACTGCTTTAAAAAATAAAATAAAATGTTACTGAACAGCAAGCACATTTGGGGGAATTAAGTGGGACCGACAGAGCCGCGGACGCCACTCCAAGGGCCCCAGGCGGCTCTTCCTAAATGATGGGGCGGCTGGTGGGCTTCACGGAGGGGGAGGCGGCGGCTCTGCGCCCCTCCCAGGTGTGTTCACACTTGGGGAATTCCGGTAGGGAGTGCGCCCTGCTATGTGCAGAGAGAAAGCAGTGTCTCTGAAAGACTAATAACCTAGAAAAAAAAAAAAAGGGAAAACTTGTCCAAAAATTCCTCCCCCTCATCAGAAAGGGACTGAGAGAGGGAGGGAGAGATGGAGAGAGGGGGGAGAGATGGAGAGAGGAGGGAGGGGCCGAGGGAGGGCCGAGGGCGGGAGGGGGATGATCCTGGGGAAATGTGCAAACCTGTTTCATTTATTTGTATCCTAAGCAGCAGTGGCACAGAACAGACAGGTCGCTTCAGCCAACCAGACGGGAGCAGCGGCGCGCGCTCCGTCTCCGCCGGGGCGTGGGAGCGCTTGGCTCCTCCCCGGGAGTGGGGGGCGCTGGGTTATTAATGACCCCGAGCGGGAGGCACGGAGTCGGGGTGACAGCTGACGGGGTGAGCGACGCAGCGCTGCCCGCCATGGAGACGGGCAGAAGGAGCGCCAGCCCCGCGGGCCGGTCCTCGCCGGATGGAGAGCCTCGGCCGGCCCACTGAGAGGGAGAGGGAGAGGGGGAGAGACAGACGGAGGGAGACGGAGAGACAGAGGGAGGAGCCGCGCTCCCGCTCCCGCTCCCGCTCCCGCA